ATTAGTGAAAGGAAGAGAGGGCAACAGTAATTTGGAAGCGAAAGGAAGGAGACTCAAAAATGGAAGTTTGATGTTTCAGGAAGATTTGGGGGGTGGGAGTGGGAGGGTGGGGGTGGACAGATGAAGCGGCAATAAAATTGAAACCAAACATGGTGATAAAGCATGGAGCGACTGGAATCCACAGATTTAAAAAAAAAAAAGGCAAGGATATATTGGCTTATAAGGTGAAGAGGGAGACAGACAGCAAGGCAAGAAGGGGAACCACAGTAGATAGAGGACACTGATATGCCGCTAGTGAGAAATGGTTGCACGGAGACTCTCTGGGCATAAAAATGATTTTTGTTGGATTATTTTTTTTTTTAATGTGTGTTTTCTTTTGCCTTTGTTTTTGGGTCATTGTCAGTGTTGTTGGCAACACCAGTGTGTGTCTAGTGCCAAGAGGATCAGATTTAAATTCTGCAAACTCCAGAGGAAGGAATCTCATGGGAGAGGAGATGGGAAAAGTGTGTGTTAGTGCATGTATGTGCATGAGCGTGTGCTTGAGTGCACACTGGGTTGTTTATATGTTATAAGTTATTCAGTATAACGTTCGTCTGTGCATACACGGATTTATGCTCCAGTACGCAATCTGGATACATATGTGTGCATGCGTGTGTGCATGTTTGTGTGTGTTGAGTTAGTGGAGGAATGCATTTTTGATTGAGTACAGACTGCATATAAATCTGGCCTGTAACTGTACACAGAGACAAAACACTGAACCTGACCCCAGGCTGTCAAACCCCCACCCCCCCCACCATCCCAGCTCACCTTGCTGGCGGCCCAAACCTGCATCTCTGTCCACTACCCCTGTGGTTCTGGCCTTCACGTTGCCTCTGTTATTGCATGTTTTTGCCCATGGCATCCTGCACAGATGTGTTTATGTTCTGGGTTAGTGTTAGGACAGATGGCAATATTGCCATCAGGTACAGTGCAGCACAGTAATTAAAAAATGATGCAAGAAACAAAAATAGCTTTGAAGGATTTGGCTCTGATCGGTCTTTTATGACAACAAAGCCGAACTGAGCCTGCAGCTCTGTCACTGACATGTTAGCTAGATGACAACAAACATGTAAGACAAGGCAGTGGAGGGGTGCACATTCTGAGAAAAAAAAAGTGACACATGAAGTTAAAAACAATGGTAATAGTAACATCTGAAAGTAATTCAATGTAATGTCTAACCATATTTGGTGTCTACATTATCAGAAGGATTACTTTAGACTCAAGCGTCACTTACTAGCTTTTTCTGGAACTAACAACAGTACTCCACAGTCTTCTTCACTGAGTGGAACATTCTCCAGTGATGTTGGGTGTCAAAAGTGCAAAATGTTGGTTGTTCATTTAATGAAGAAGACTGTGAAATATGATTCAAATGAAATTAAAAACTCTTTCAAGCTAGTAAATGATGGTGTTCACCCAACAAAGGCAGAATAGGAAGGTCAGGAAAACCTCCCGTTATTCCAACTTGTGACTGGTCATTCATTATTCCAAAGTGATTATCCCCAAAATGACAACCTAATACTGGATTAAATCTGTCTCTCAAGTCACTCACAACATGACATACAGTATAGTGCCATGTCCCATGTGAGGACCACAGCATGGATGCAATAGTCGCTTCTGCACTTAATGTCCTGTGTTGTTCTCTGATGCAGCAGTGGGGTTCTGCACATGACTCGATGCTACTGAAGGGTGAAGAGTTGGTGGATGTAGCCTGAAGCTAGGAGTTTTGGTTCTAGAAAAACACAGATGATATCTCAACCTTTTTCCAGAACCATGCTTTGACTGATGTTAAATCTTGTTAGAGTCTTATAGTGTACGTTCGCCAAGTATAACATGGCAGTTCACTGTATCCTAATCAGTGTTGCCCTGGAAATGATAAACATCTATTTGGATCTTCCACATACTGCTGTTTCCTCTCTGCTTAAGACCACTTTCACGTGGCCAGAGAAACGGAGGGCAGCCTTTTTTGGCACCAGAGCTAGTTTTCTTGCACCAGACTGGAGAGCTTTGCTTGCGTATGGTTTTCCCACAATGTCAAATAAGGGTTTCAGTACTTGTTTAAAACCTCAAATGGTAGTGCATGTTGGGAAAGATGAAATACTTGTTCTCTAAGACGGAAGAGGTGCAACACCCACAAACACTATCCGGCGTGTAAAATGTCAAGTGTGTAACAAGGCATGCTTTGCCCCTAAACACAACCTTTTACACCAAAGTTCACCTCTGAACCCTGACCCTGTGTTTCATTCTGACCTATATGGAGCACACAACCTCATGTTCAACTTTGTCTTGCAGATGGCAGCCAGATCTGACTTTACATCAGCAAACAAGCCAAAGATAAAAATACAATCTGTTGTGAATAATAGATCTCCCCTGTGAATGCATATGTGTAAGTCTAATCGTTATATGTAGAGTCACAGAAGCAGGTCACGGTCGGCCATTGTAGGGGACCCCTGTGTTGCTGTAACGCAATCCTCCCACGGAGAATGTTCTGGTTTCAACCCTGCCCTGCAGAGTGTGCTTCCACAGCCAGGTACACAGACACAGCCCCAAGCCTGTGGGGCGCGCCTTGAAGTCAGGCTATGTGCCGACTATTATAATAATATTATATAACAACAACATGGCTCTGAGTTTGAGTTATCTCAGTTTACTCGTACAAAAGAGGGTTGTTTTTAGTCACAGTGCAGGATGCTTTTAGACATGTCAGTGTTCAATCAAAACAACAAGAGCCTTTCACGTCTGGCAATCATCTCCCGGCATGTGGCTGCAGACAAAAGGAAACGTTTTAGAACATTTTGGGTTGATTTTTGCCAAGGATAATTTTCTTTCTCTATCCCAGACTCATTTTTGGTACCTGTTTATTCCTTCTGAACGCAACCCCACTTTTGCACACTGTTTGTCTTTTTCCTTCGGGGCTGTTTACTCTGAGAGTCAGTGATGCGGTGTTGATTTTGAGGTGTTTTGATGCTAATGGAGGATGTGCGGTGGGAGGAGCCCACGGCTTGATGAGCTCCAAATGTTCAGGCGTCGCTGAAAGATGCGGATTGCTTCTGACAGGTGATGAGGCTTTTGTGGTTGAATGGAGATCGGAGGAGTCTTGGCTGACAGGAGCAGTGCTGTTTGACTGATTTCAAGGTGTGTGTGGGAGTGTGTGAGAGTTGCCTGGGCCCAACCACAGTGATTTAGAAGAAAGTCTGGAGGATGCTTTGATGTAGCCGACTACTCGGGGTCAACAGGTAGTGGAGAAGTCACCAGCTGTGAAGGAGGCTGTTTTCATGAAGCAGCTCACTGAGTTTGTTTGCTCATGTCACTTCCATGACAAGTATTTTTAATCCTATTTTAATTTGAAACTGCCAGTTTCCCAATCTGTCACTCAACCTGTCACCAAAGCTCAAGTTATTTGATGAATAGCATGTTTTAAGTAAGGTTGAGCTTGTTACGCTAGTTTGGGTGCAGAGCAGGCAACTTTGAAAGCAGATGCCATCACAGTTACTCTTTGTTACAAGTCATCCTTGCAATTTGTACCATAATCAAAGTGATTATTCTCATTTGTAAATGTTTGTTTTTCATTTTATTTTCTTTCTGGTTACTTTAGAGGCACAGAAAACAGTTAAGTCATGAGGCATTCTTTGTTTGCTGAGGACACACTGTACATTTTTGTGTATACAGTAATCGAGTAGAGATTATAAGTTTCTACCTAGCCCTGTCAGAGAGCTAATACCTCAAATGCGGCTGAGTCAGAGGAAAAAGGTGTTGACTGTTTTCCGTCAGAACTTGTTTTCTTAGAACCACTGAAAACGTAATGAAAGTAAACGTCTTGTAAGGCGTTTACGATATTCACTGATTCCTCCTGGGGTCTTGTTATGATGGGAGAGATGAAAGGGAAAGAAAAAAGGGGCAGCAGAGAGAGCTAATCGGGATTAATTGGCTGCTGTTATTTTGACCCAAGGCAGAAAGGAGATAAGAAAAAAATGGGGAAAAGTGGAGAGGTGAAAGGAGGAGAGTGTGGGATTAGGCATGTGAATCTACAGGAGGCCTGAGGTGTGTCAGAGAAAGGCAGAGTGAGCGAAAGAGAGAAAGCTGACAGGGTCTCACACACACACACACACACACACACACATTGTGCAATACATATTACACACCTGCTAAACGACAGCATGTTTTGCCCTTAATTACAAGCATGAATCACTGCTTGGCGTCTGTGTGTCAGGAGGATGAGTGAAAGCATGGAGAGAATAGAAAAGGATGACAGAGAGCAGAGACGACGAAAGAAATGTGTCATGCTCAAGTGAGGGCACGAGGAAGCGTTGAGCGAGAGAGTTTGAAAGTAAAGAGAGAAAGTGTGAAAATGAAAGCGTCCAGGGAACGCAGGCACAGGTTGAGAAGACGTGGACGTACACGAAGTCCTTTAATGTTGAAAACCACCTTTCAGCTCCAATTTTCTCTGTTTGAAACCAGAGACAAGGGCACTAAAAGGTTTTTAGTGTTATAACCCCCCCCCACATACACACACTTACCAGTATACACACACAAACTGAAAGTCATTGTATACACTCACAGTGATGTGAATTTAATCCACATACATAATTACAGCTACAAACATTCTCACAAACACTCACACAGTAACGTAAAACACCTACACAAACACTCTGAAACCTAAACAAGAAGTCCACAGCAAACATATAACTGATACAAACACATTAATTTTTGTGACTGGAAAGACAGACACATGTCTTTGTTTTGGGGATATCATCAGAAATGAACTTGTGAGTATGTGCGTCTGTGTTTGCGTGTGTGTGTTTAACCAGCTGTTTGCCTTACAGGCTGGTACACTGAACATAGGAGCCATTTGTCTGCCTGTCTGAAGCCATTAAGCAAGGTTTTATTTGAAGCCAGAATAAACGTCTGACAGCCAGAAACATCTAAAATTAGATTAGGAATGGAAAAAGCTTTATTGGCAAGGTAAGATGACTCTGACCTGGCGATATGTAAACAGACGGGGCCATTGCCATAGAGACAAAGAAATAAACCTGAATATTGTCAAAATTCCCATAAACAGTGTGATGGTGCAGAGACTGTAGTGAAGCCTGGAAACTGTCGCTGGAGGTTTTTGTCTGTTGAGTTCTCAAATCATCAAATTCATTAAAAACTCTAAGTTATAATCACAAAGTGTCTGAGAAAATAATGGCTGAGATCAACTTCACCTCATTGTTATGATTACAAATACCTCTACAGTGCGTGTTAATTATCACATGGAGACCTATAATGTCCATGTCATTAAAGCAACAGGCCTGACACTGTCTCTCTGAGATTTAATCTCAGTCTTTTAATTTTTTTTTATTACATTTAATTTCTCCACAGTCCATCAACACCATCTTATCTTGCTATTGCGTGGCAACTGCTCTCGATTCATCACACAGCCTGGCCAGTGAGAGGAGCTCGATAGAAAGCACATACGAACTGACCAAGTACCTGGAATATCAGCTTAAAGAAATCAAAGACATATATGTGAGTATGTGATTCTTTTCCTGTACAATCTCATTGATTTGATCAAAGCCAACAACAAACATATATATAAGTCATGGTCAAAATATACAAGGTCATTATCAAACACAGCTCACCTTTGAAGAAACTTAATCACATTTAGAAACATTGCTACAAAGGTTCCCATTAAAGCAGATACAATAAATAAATAAATAATTTAAAATGATCTATTAAATGATGATGTGAAAATATTAATAGGGTTGCTGGTGTTAATGGACCTATAGAAAAGAGCTCTGCAGAGCTTCATCACGTGTTTCAGCTCTGTTTGATGCCCAATCCACTGTTTGGGTTCACTCTTACTTCCACCAGCTGCAGCAGGCAAGCTGTTTTCAGTAAAGAAAAGCTCTCAAGGAGCAGCTATTGTAACCGCTAAAGAGCCAGCTATTTCCCTCAGGAGTTGGTGAAGGCCAAAAACAGAGGTAAAAGCGAGTGAATACTGGACTTAAATTTACCTGTTGTCTAAACACATGATTCCAAATGAATGTTAATGTTCCTGAACAGCTGGATGTGTTAATAAGTAACCATTTGCTGACAAGTTTGGCATACAGTATCAACTCATGTCACAATGTTTGCAACATGTTTCTGCTGCCCCAAAGTAGCCAAGAAAAAAAAAATCAGTTACGGCAGGTTTAAGGAATCCATTTGACATTTAGTGAAATACTCCTAAAGTTAGATGAGAAGGTCACTAAATATGATGCTGCAATGGCAGAAACCTATTAACTTAGCTAAGTATACTGAGTGGATACAGGGAAACAGCTTGCCCAACTTTGTTCAAGAGTATCACCATATCTAGAGCTAACTAATTAGCATTTATTTGTTTAATCCATACTAATATATCAAAGTAAAAAAGGCTATGTGCAGGTTCAAGGAATTTTTTTAGCTATTTCTTTGTACGTCCCACCGACACTTCCTGCAGTGTCGCTGCCTCTGACATGACAAAGCTTGAGAAAGTACTGTACCCAACCAAGAAATTTTATTGCTTTTTTAAAGTATTGTTACACTTTATTATGCTTAACTAACTTGAAGAATGTGATCTGACTTGGGCTTTACTGTGTTACTTCTGACATCTTTCTTATTAAGGTTATTAAAACCTTCCGGTTGGCCAAACTAACTTATATGAGAAAACAAAGAAAAACCTCTGGAAACATCCGCTAAAGATTAGATGTTCAACTTTGACCTACTCTACTTGCTTGGCTGTGGGCGTACAATTTTCCTGTGTAATGATGGATCATGACAGACAAGACAGGAGCTTCACTTTGATTTGAACTTCCATTTATGTGGTTTAGATAAACTGGCTATGTGAGGTGCTTTGGGCATCTGATCAGGAGGCCTCCTGGGCTCCTTCCACTGAAGGGTTTTGGGGCAGCTGCTCTGATCATCTTTTCACTTATGATTCTTGCTCTATGAAGCTTTGTAAATTGTTATAATGAATGATGACCCAAAATGTATGAAAATTAGCAATAAAAGAAAAGGATCCGAATCTAGTCCACATTTCTTTCTCATCTTGTCTTCTCATTGCTGTTTATCTCTTCCAGCTCACCTATCTAGGCCCTCCATTTAATGAGAAAGACTTCTCCCCTCCACGGCCCAACAGCACAGCTTTGTCTCTACCCAGTGCTGCCACCCGTCTGGAGCTGTGGCATGGCCTGGAGAACCAAGCTCGGCTTGCCCAGAACCAAAAGGCTTACTCTGTGCTGCTGGCAGCTGTCAGGGAGCTGGCCCAATCCACCCTCTGCCCCTCCCTTAAGACCTCCCTGCTGCACTTCTGCACAGGCCTGGATGGACTGCTGGGGTCAATATCTGCTCTGATGACTACCCTTGGTTACACACTTCCTCCTGCGTCTGCGAACAGTGGAGATAATGCTGGCGAGCTGCAGTACCCTCAGAGGGGGACAGGAAACGAGCGACCAGCTCCACTGATGAGTCACAGTCTGTACAGGTCTAGAACTGGGACAAGGACAGAGTCCACTCAGCGTAACAACCAGAAACGCAACGGGAGGAGGGTGGTCAGGGGAGAGAGGGAGGACGCTGTCACTGTAGGAGACCACAGCTGGAGGGCGGAGTGGTGGATCAAGGGAGAAGGAAAGAGGAGAAAGAAGGAGGAGAGGGAAGAGGGAAGAGTCTGAGAGTGGGAAATGGGCTGCCAGCAAAGAAGAGATAGTAGAAGAAGAGATAGTAGGGGAGGAGACAGAAGAAGGGCTGGAGCAAGAGAGAGGGGTGGAGAGATGGGGGAGGAGGAGAAGGTTGCTGAGTTTCAACCAAGATGGAGAAGGAGAGGAGCCTGTACACAGGGTTGAAGTGTTGTACCCAGGCACAGAAAGCTCCAGCTTCATTCAGCAACCGACCATCCCAACCAACACCAACAATCAGTACAGCTACACCCTGAACTCACATCACCCAGACACACTCAGGAGGGAGGATGGATTTAATATAGAGAGAAGCAGAGAGTTAAAGGTGGAGCAGGAGGAGAAACAAATAGACATGGACACCATCTCCTCTTCCTCCACTTTTCATCATCAGCTTCGACTTCCTCGCTCCCTTTTCCCCCCGACTCTCCAATCTCCCCTATCCACCCTCTCCCTCCTCTACCAGTTTGGAACAAGTGAGGAGCACACCCTTGTCCCCCAACCGGTCCCTCTATCTTTACGAAAGGGCACTGCCCTACTTTCACCGCCTCTGGCTCCTCTCCTCTCCTCCCCCTCCTCATCCTCCTCTTCACTCCTGTCAGTGCAGCCAACCATGAACGACTTTGCCAGGAAGGTAGAGGGATTTTGGATATTACGAGAGCTGCAGAGTTGGCTGTGGCGATCAGCGAAAGACTTCAACCGTCTCAAGAGGAGACTTCGAGGCTGATACACTGAGACAAGGCTGGAGACTGAGAGAGCACACACACACACACAAACACATGACTGTGCAGTATATCGGAAATCTACTATTTGCACAAAATCTGAGTGGAAACTAACAGAGAGCTGTAACAGACAATAGCACATAAACACATTCATGCTTAACACATTCATTCATTCTGTAGTGGGAGAAGTGAATGAAGGACTTTTTGGCAGGTCACCAGAAGAGCTAATGGAATATCACACACACAAAGCCAACACATTACCAGCACTGTCACCCGTCTAATGCACATAGCAGCTCATTGAGCGAGACACACTGAGCCTGGGCTGAGTTACCGGACTTCACGGCTCATAGATCAACAGAAATACCACTGTAGGTGGTTAGACACACACACACACACACACACACACACACACACACACACACACACACACACAGGGGTAGAATGAGTGACAGTCAGTGAGACAGACAGTGCAGTCATTGAGCGAAAACTGATTCGGTCATCCCAGATGTGTGAATCAGCAAACATTCAATTTCTCACAGAGAATCAGGGAAAATTCTGAATGGGTTAAAGACAAAAGGGAAGGACATGGTCAGAGGGATGAAGAGGGCACAAAGGGGAAGAGGAAGAGGCAGAAAAGGAGAGGAAGATCGGAGGAGGCGTGAGTCAGGGGCATGATCGCTGGAAATAACAGGCACAGGGTTACTGCTGAGTAATCAGAAGTTGACTGGTCAGTTACAGTAACTCCACAACAGTGCTACACATAGTGTCTAGACAGAGAGGTTGTCAAACACACACACACACACACACACACAGATTTATTGTGGTATTTGGTGCCTTAACTTGCCATTCACTTCTGTGCTGTTGTATCACCCTTTAATGATTTCACACAACTGAAAAATATGTAACACAATCTTAAAATGTTTAACAGGTGAAGCATTTTCTTTTAAAAACCTCAGATATCATTATTTTAGTGTTTAAAGGAATCATTTAGACATTTTAGGCACTGGTATTTTTGCTTTCTTGCTTTTTAACTCCCTTAAATGAGAAGATTAAAACAAATACATGACTGAATATAAAGCTGGAGCCAGCAGACTTAGCATAAAGACTGGAAATGAGGGGGACGGCTAGCCTGGCTCTGTCCAAAAGTACAAAGTGTATCCAGCAAGCACTTCTAAAGCTAATTAATTAAAACAGTGTAGCTCGTTTTAATTTTCGCACTTTGCCAAAATCCTTGAGGTTGCCAAGCATACAGCAGAGACTCCAGGAAGTCACTGCTCTAAGCTAAGAGATAGTCCAACACTTTACCCGCATAAAACAGTGACTTGTCACTTTTACACCAGTGGTGGATAAACTGTGGTTCTTTAGGAAGCAGTTCCAGGATATAACTCCTTCTAAAACCACAAATTCTAGGTTTTCCCCTTTGATTTGTGTACAAGTTAATCAAACACAGTGTGTATGTGAGCTTTAGAAATCTTGTCAGATTTATTTACCTTCAGGCAGAGGTAGGCAGGCTGTTTCTCTGTGCTCTCAAGCTCCATTTACACATCTGCAGTAAGGTCTTATGCCACAGCTACTGTATGTGCACAGGCTTCATTGTAGCTCCTCTTCAGAAATGTAGCTGCACATTCAGGCTACACCAGCTACGGAAATGCTACATGTAGATGGTCAACATGAGCTGTTTATGTTTTGTCCTACACGTTTCTGATGCTGTAGAATCAGAGAGAAGACAAGTTGAAAACTTATTCAATAATCTTTTTGGGATGGCACATCTAGCAAAGCTGTTTCCACTGCATAGCTTCTGCTAGTTAGCATTGAAATGCATGAAACAGTGTAAATACAACGGCTGTACAAAGAGCCCATTGTAATGAAACAACGTGGACCCTCCCACTGATGCTCGCATCACAAATTTAAACACAGTTACTCTGGATAACATAATTAAAAGCATCACTTAACCTGATCAATAGCTGTATACCCATTTTAATGTTGCTGTGGTGCTATCAGCAGGTGACGCTGAACCATAAATCAAAGCCTACACTGTGGGTATCTATGACACGGCTTAACTTGCGGCTTGAGCTTCATATTTAAGAAACTAACCTGAGAGTGATATCAATCTTCTCCTCTGACTCTTGGCAAGAAAGTGAGCCTTCCAAAAATGTCAAACCGTTCCTGTAAGTACAGTCCTAAACACACAAATTAGACACACTGCCTTTCAAAACATGATATCGAAGTTTTCCCCTTGGCAATTTACAGATGGCTTAATTTCTCTTCAGTAAAATATGTAGCTACATCTCGTCATTGTGCCTTGGATGTTGTGGCTAAAGGTTATAAATCATATCTCTATATTAGCCTATTTATTGAACAAGATGTTTATTTATTTTTCTCCAGTGTGAAAATACTGTACTGTAACTCAAGAGAGAATAAATACTAGCTTTTCTACACAGCCTTGTGTTACTGGTCATTTGGGAGGAGAGACTGAAAAAAAAAAATCCAAATGGGATTTTTGTTTGTTTTAGTTTTACAGGGAAGGTTTCAGATGATTGACATGAGGGGAGAGGAGTTTGGGGTCAGGGCGTTTACTGGAAAACAATGGCTGGCTCATATTCGTGGCAAAAAAATGGAGCGAGGGAGGTGGGGCATGAGAGAGTTTTTATTTGTCTGTCCAGGTGAAAATTTATGATCATTCTTTTTTCCTTTCATCTCTGTCATCCCACCTTCCACTGCATCATCCCTCCTTTGCTCTCCTTTCTCATCATACTATCTCACGAAGCTCCTCTTCCCCCCAAAAAAACATCCCTCTGACCCGTGACAGTGAAGGATTTACAAGAGTGCAAACAGGCACAGGTACAAACACACCCCTCGTAATCCCATTAACCACCCAGCTCTCTTGTTGTGTCTGTTTCAATGCCACCATTCTTTCTGTCGCTGCCTCTGCCTCTTATCATTTTTTTTGTACTTCCCTTGTCTTCCACAGCCACTCTTTTATCGCTTCATCACCTTTTATCTTAATTCCATTCTTTCATGTTTGTCTTTATTGCTCTCCTCTACACTTTTTTCCCACATGCTCTGCAGCTCTCTGGCTCCCTCTCCTTGCCTCAGGCCAGATATTAAAGGATCAATGAGAATCTCCCTTCCATCACCTCCAAAGTACACACCTGCACACAACTGCACACACCCATTCTGACACACACACACACACACATAGTGGCAAACACACAAACATGGACCATGCTCTGCCAAACAAGTGCACACAAGAACCTTAAAAAGTGGCATTAGCTGAGCAGGAAGTGACTTACATAGGAGGTCGACAGAGTCAGTGCTGACACATCATCGCACACACTCGTGACTCTCACTAGGTGGGGGAAAGGGTTAACAGTGACAGAGGCGTGACACGTACCCTGTATATACACACATACGCCAGTGTGTTTTTTACATTCAATAAGCAGTGACTGAGTGGCTGCCAGTAGTCAACAAAGGCAGCTTTGCATAGTCTGTATATGTGTGTGTGTATTGTCTGCCTCTGTGTGGGCTTGCAAATACAGCACGTGTGTGAATCATTATCTTTATGTGTCAGAAATTCGTTGGAATGAGGCTTGTCAACCATAGCGATCTAACAGCCATCACTCAGTTGTCTCTCTCTCTCTCTCTGTCTCTCTCTGTCAGCAAAGCACAGACAAATTGCTGTAACTAATAGCTAACAGAATAGTGGAATCCTGTTAGTATGACTCAGCTGGTGAGTCCTTCAGTAAGAACAGACACTGTGAGTGACAAGGCTTCGACATTATTGGCTTGGTCTATCAGGCAGCTGCTGCTGACAGAAGAACACTCTGCTGCTCAGGCAGGCCTGGCTGTCTGATTGGCAGGCTACGAGCTAATACAAGACTTACAGTCTATAGAGGAGCTGAAGTGCGAGCCATCTTGGCCCAGAAAGCATCTCTTCTGTTCTTTTTTTCTGGCCCCTTTGCTCCAAACTCCATTCGAGTCTTAAAGGAAAACTCCAAGAATCTGTGAAATTTCCCTATTTTCTCCTGTGGTCACCTGCTATGGTGCTTTATTTTAGCACTTGTACATAAATCATTTTGAGTGTTAGCAGGCTACTGGAATCACTGCACAACTGATAAAATATTAAGACTTCTAGAAATTATGAATACACCAATTTAGTGGTGCATTCTTATAACAACTTCACAATGGACACAAAAGGCTTTATAAAACTGTTTTTGTGTGTATAGTAGCACTCACCAAGACTTATAAACACACTTTGATGTATACAATTATTGCCATTCCTCTTTAAGAACTATTTGTTCTGTCTGAGAATTGTATAGTAAAAGTACAGAACACCCATGAAGATGAACTTCCAAAGCTTGGATAGTCAGAAGATGAAAGACTGCATTGTAGAAGATCAGACTCATTGACAGAATGTCAAAGATAAGAGCTTTTGTCTACAAAAATGTGATAAAAAAATAAAATAGTTTTGTTAAGAAACATTTGATCATAAGCTCGTTCTTTTTCATGCACAGCTAACAGTCAGCAGAAGCTAAAGATGATGCTTTGTAAAGAGCTAAAAAATCAGCCAGCGTCACTACACTCACAGTGCAGCCATCCTCAGAAACAAACATGAACGAACTTGAGTGAGTAAATACCTTTTAATATAAGAAAGTGCAGTGGTGGAAGAAGTACTCACACTGTTTAATTCAATAAAAGTAACAATGCCACAGTGTAAGTATATATGAGTAAAAAGTACTATTTCTACCGCTAAAATATGGCAAAATCAAAATATAAAGTAGCAGAAAATTTAAATACTCAAGTAAAATAAACATGCTGTAAAATTGTACTTAAGTACCAAACTTTATTAAATGTACTTAGTTACTTTCCATCGCTGTGAAGGTGTTCATAGATTCACATAAGAAAAATATGTGTGTCATGTAGCTGAAATATATTCCCAGGGTTGGACATCTGAGCAAGGTAAAATGCAACACATTGTCCTCTGAAACACCTAAAAATATAAACAATATACTGACAACAAGCTAAACAATGGAAGCCTCTTGACTTATAATGAGAAAACATTCAACATGATTTTTTGTGTCACATGATAATTGTGGTGTGTATGATGTCATCACCGAAGCTGACCAATAGACCTGGTATATTCCTTTAAGATGAACAGATGCACTCGTCCAGCCATTCTTGGCCCTCCTCTTCCTCCCCTGTCTGTCTTTCACACTCCTATTTGCTCTCTATCTTTTTTTGTCACACTCTGTCTCTCAATCTTTTTTCCATATGTCTCTCTGCTTTCCTTTATCATGTCTACCCATGCCATGCTTTCTAACCGTGCAAGTGGCCATTTGGTGTCATTTTGTGTTATCTTTGTTTCATTTTCACCCCACGTGCCCCCTTTTTCTTTGCTACAATCAAACCCTTTCACGATTCCCTCAAATTCCCTCGGCCACCCCCGCGCTCTGTCCGTCTTTTTCCATCTGTCTGTCTCCTGCTCTCTTCCCTCTCCCTCCCTCTCTGCTCTGCTCACCTGCAGCACATAAAAATTCCTAGTTTTTTCTCCAGAGGATTGTTCAGTCACTCAGGGATTTACTGCATTCTTTAATGCTTTCGCTCCCTCTTTCTCTCCATATCTGTCTCCCCTTGTTTCTCTCTGTTTTGGCAGCACTACACAGCGTTTGATTCCGCCTATCTTCTCTTTTGTCCTTTTAACACATTTATATCTTTCTTTAAGCCCCTCTGTGTTTTGTGTTTTCTTTTTCCATCCCACCCTACCATTATAATAACAAAAACTAATCCTGTATCTGTCGTTTCCATGGCCCCACCCAATTTTTTTAATATTTTTTTTATTTTTTACTCTTTAGCACCCATAGTACCTGCCCGACCTGGCCTCTCCCTCCTGCTGGGTTTCTGCCATGACTATGAACATCCCGCCTCCACTTACTTAGCTGGAGGGCACAGGGTTGGGCTGCAGCTTCACACCACCTTTTTTTGGGTTGGTGGGGGTAGAAGGAGGAGGCGGAGGGTGAGCTCCAGGGCCCGGGGCCTTGGATGAGGCTGATTTACGAGTTAATCAATTGGTCGTCCGTGTGAGTGAGCACAACCGCAGAGGTGTGTGAGCTCTTTCATGTCACTGTCTGTGCTTGTTGACTTGGTCCCTTAGGAAAACACCGGCAGCTGTCATTCCCCGTGTTGCTTGGCTCCTTGACATATTTTCAAAAGCAATTAGGGAGAAAATGTGTCTGGGTGTTCATTCAGCTGATGGTTGAATGGCTTGTGTGTGCTTGTGTGTGTGTGTGGATGTTTGTGTATGGTTTTGTGGGTGTTAAGGCCTTACAAAAGCCTTACCTAACTATGAAAAGCAATGACATTGCACACATATTGCATAAAGTGCCTTTTACCCTTCTAAAGAAATGCACAGAAGCAAGCTTTGATTTACAATATGTGATTTGGCAGCAAACAGTTTTCCTCTTCTCTCTCACCACCTGCTGAAATTTACACTACATTCACATTAAACTGTCACACTCACATTCACACCTACGGGCAATTTAGAGTCACCAATAAACCTAACCTGCACGTCTTTAGACTGCGGAAGGAAGCTTCACACAGGCACTGAGAGTTCATGTAAACTCCACACAGAAAGGTCCCACGAGGTTCAAACCCAGAACCTTCTTGCTATGAGACGACAGTGCTAATCACTGCACTGCTGTGCCGCCCCTGAAAAATACAAAACTCTTTGCCCTGTTTTCAAGCAATGAAGCTACTTGCCACAGCCAGTACCTGGTAAAGAGTGCACAGACAACTTGACTGACCAAATCAGTATTTTAAAATCAAGCAGACGCTACTGACATTCAAAATCGGTGATTACAGAGAAAGGCATGGGTGACTAAATGTAGTCTTCTTAACTGTACAAGGCTTACATCATGTAAAGGAGTGGCGACTCTCTTTGCCACTCCTTTGCATCATCTTTTCATTATTTCATAGTCAGTGGGAGCAGCAGTGAGAATGATTTAATATAGCTTTGAAGCTGATTTAGAAGAGTGCACGAACTGCCGAACAAAACAACTTTATGTTTGAGTTGTCCAGAAATATGATTTGACACCTGCTGCCAATCTTAAACAAGAGTTTTATTTGTTATAATGTCACAGTATAATGGACTTTAACAGCAAATTTGAGTTAAAGACAATTACACTGAGTGCAGATTCACATCTTTAGTTACTATGCTCTAAAGCAGCAGTACGGTAAAAACAGAACAGGCGAGACTGTCGAGGCTGAGACTGATCTGCAAGAGACTTAAATCTTAAATCCTCACATACTAGAAGACAAATTGTGCTGACTGTATATCAATGACTATCCTTTTTTAGGA